CAAGCCGGGCCCGAAGCTGGACAGCCGGGCCGAGACGTGCTTCGTGAACTGCGTGGAGCGCTTCATCGACACCAGCCAGTTCATCCTGAACCGGCTGGAGCAGACGCAGAAGTCCAAGTCAGCCTTCTCAGAGAGCCTGTCCGACTGAGCGGGACCAGCGCCTCGGGGGACGCCAGGCCCTCCGCCGCACCGGCTGCTGGTCACTGCTGCCTGAACGACCCAGGATCAGCTCTGGGGTTTAGGATTTAATTAAATGCCAGTCTCGGGGAAGTTGCAGCTACATGAGAGCCCATGACAGAGGCACGGTCGCTCCTCCTCTGGGTGATGTGCTGCTTCCAGCCCTGCAGGCCAGCAGCTTGCTTTATGCTGGGACTCCAGGGCTACCGACATTTGGAACGCGCCCACTCAGCTGACCGGAGGGGTGGTGATGCTTGTGTCAGAGGGTGCTCCCAGCACTGATGTGAATCTCAGCTCTGGGCAAGGCCAGCCTGCAACTGCTGCCTTAAATGGTGCTCCACAAAACAAGCCCTCTTCGGTAGATGCTAACGAGCCCTGCAGGCACCATTGCTGTGCAGTCTGGTACAGGCACCCTTAGCAAGAAGAGCTTGTTGGGCACAGTGATCATCCCAGGCAGTGTCACTACTGGAAAATACTTTCAGACTTCCATAGGTAATCATTAACATGGCCAAGTGACAAATTTTCAAATTGCAGCACAACTCTGTCAATACTGACTTGCTCCGTTAACTGCTTTCCCCTGGTCAATGTAATAAATACTAACTGGGTCAATTTTTAACATGATATTCTCCTTTGTTCAGGTAGATGATCACCAACAATTGAAAATCTGGCCTTCTTGTCACTCTCTCTCCTTCCCAGTAATCCCATTTATTGCAAAATTGGTAGGGAGGAGGCATAATTTTCTTCTGGCTACAAAGTCTGCTCTAATTTCTTGCTCAATTAATTTGGTCCTGTGAATCAGACTTGTTTCTGGGAGAGGCTGTGGCCTTTCCTCCCCTTCCCCAAAGGGCTGACAGCTCCTTCTGTCGTGTAAAGTAGTTTCTTTAGAGAGACAAAATGTAGGAAATTAGTAACCAGTGACTTTATAACTTCATGCATCTTTACCTGTGGAGACCACTGGAGGGAGGCCTGTGGCTGTGTCATCTGGACCTCTGCCCCCAGGACACAGAGAGGAGCTTCTAACTGGACAAACAACCACCACCCTCTGGAAAGGCAGTGTAGCATTTCAGCAGTGTTTACATACAGCATGGCAGTGGGAAGCCTGGAGTGACCCACTGACAGTGGCTTGGAGCTCTATGCAGGAACTTCATAAAGTACTTCTTTTGCACATGTCCATTTGCCATGGGTGGCTGGACAGGGGGTGTGAGTTCCTAACATGGGTGGCTTGTTCCCAGGAAGGCTGCTGGCTACAAGTTCAGGATGTGTTAAACTGAGCTATGCAGATATAAACCCACATAAATGAGGATACAACTGTCTAGACATCTTTCAGAAACTTGCTTAAATAGCTAAGGACTCTTAAATCACTCCTGTTTCCCACAGTTAAGTGATTCCCTCTCCTGTCCCTATCTTGAATTTCTCTCGAGCATCCGCATGGTCCTTCCTACCCCTGTAATCCTTCATGCCTTTCAGTGCTGGCCCAGCTCTTGGTACAAATGCATCACTAGTCACCTGGTAACTGAGCAAGTAGTTTTTTAATAGGATGCAGTAGGCAGGTGCTTCATCCACCTGCACAGCAGATATTGCATGGGGAGGCTGGTCCCTCTAAGAGCCACAGGAGCATGTGGCAGCACCACTGAAGTTTTCCAGTTTTGGCTGTATTCTGTTCCTGGATTTGAATCTGTAAATAAATTCCAGCAGAGTAAGCAAAACAAGTACTTGAGAGAGGAATTTTTTAATTAATATTCTGGGTATGTCATCTTTAAAGCCAGACATCCATCTTCTCTCCGTGTAATGTTAGCACCATGTTAGAATATCTGGTAGCTGTTAATCTTCTAAGTATATTTTTAAAAATGAGACCTCCCCAAATGTGTGGTCTTCACATTTAGTAAGGATTAGCACTGTCTTAGTGCTGCAGGCCTCTGCACAGCTGAAGCCTGTGTCCTGACGAGGGCAGATCAATTCTTCATGTAAAAGAACAGTGAAGAGGCACCGGATCCCAGGAACTGTGTGGTTCCCAGGGCTCCTGTCTGTAGCTGCAGGAGGCCACTGTCCCTGTCAGCCTCCTGGCAGTGGCAGGTCACCCATCTTGCACCTGGGGCAGGTAGATGGTAACTGCCAACTCCTGCTAGTGCAGTAGTAGCTAGCAGCAGCTGAGGCAGCATGTTCAACCTTGCAGTGGAGCTGCTCAGCAGTGGGAGCAGAAAGGTAGCAGCTGAGAGGCTTCCTCACATGCTTTCACCTTCCTCCTCTTCCTCCTCTGTGCTCTGAGAGCCTTTGTCCTCTGAGGAAAGAAGAGGCTGATGCTGACATGACTGATGTCTGTCTGTGCTCCTCCACGTGGCATGCAGGTCTACCCTGCCTTGCTGCAGGAAGAGGGGCAGGAGGTCGGAGGTGAAGGGCATGTCCCTAAAGGCGTGCAGGAGGAAGATGCCAGACACAATGGTGAGGAAGCCGCTGATGGTGCCAATGATGTTGTCTAGCACCATGTGTTGCCACTCCTTGAAGAGGATGGCAGAGCACATCATGACTGCTGTGGTGAACAGCACGTAGTAAACAGGTGTGACCACAGATGTGTTGAAGATGTCCAAGGCTTTGTTCAGATAGTTGATCTGGACGCTGATGCAGATCACCAGGCACACCAGGAGCACCCAGCCCAGTGGTTCTTTCAGGACTGGCTTCCCGGAAAACAGTTCTTTCAGGGTAATCCCCAAGCCTTTGACACAGGACACAGAAAGCGAGCCGATGGCAGAGCAGACCAAAACATAAACTAGGACGTTGCTCTGTCCACAACGGGGTCCAGCCACAAAGATAAGCAGAAGGGAGCTCACCAGGACACACACAGCAAATACAATGAATCCTCAGGGAAAGAAGAATTAAAGAGCTCTATCAGAGAACTGTAGCACCAGTGATGTAACTGAATGGCAAGTAGAGATGGAGGAGAGGTGGGTAACTGCCCCATCAGTCTGTGTTTTTAGCCTTGAACTGTAGGGACTGAGGTTGGGAACAGAGCTGGTCTCCAGCCTGAGCAAAGCTGCAGAGACAACAGCAGCTACAGTGCTGCCCCACAGCACCACCCAAGTCAGCCTGTCAGGGGATACAGCTGCCTGTGCTGGAAGGGGTAGGGGCACAGCCAGGCTCTAGCACTAACGGAGGTGGGGGGCTTGTTGACCAGGAAGATGATAGGGCACAGCTCTGCCGGGGGCCCAGGAGGCTGGCAGAAGGCTTGGGAAGCCCTAGCTGAACTCTGGAGGCTGTGGTGGCATAAAGAGGAAAAGTGCCACATCACAGGAGTGCAAGGCCCTGCCAGAGTGCTCCCTGTAATGAGGAGCAGAGTCTGCCTGTTACTCTGCTTTGATCTTCTCCCTGTGCTTCCTTCCTCCATCTTCTGTGGTTTATGGTATTGCCTAAATCATATCTTTGCAACCTGATTCATCTTCTAACATATCAGGACTACTTGATCTCGGGTATAACTCCTTGCATCACTTGTTTATCTTTGCCTGAAGTTCCTCCTCTGTCTTCCCTCAGGGACACCACTGCCACCCTCATGTACAGGAATTCCCTCTCCTATCCTGGCACTGCCACAGGCCAGCCTCTTCTGACAGCTGCAGCTAATTCCCATGCTCTACACTTTTTGCATCTGTACCTCATAGACAGTACAAAAAGAGCACACTTGGTAACTGTTAATGACCCAAGTTCTCATCCTGCTTCAGCACAGATCGAGTGACTTGAAAGCATCACCCAGACTCCCTGTCTGCTTCCTTCATCCGGGGTCAAGAGGACTTGACAGTCCTAAAAAGCCATTCTGAAGGTGGCATGTCCCTGTATGATTTGAGCTAGTTAATAAGGTGTAAAAGTGACTTGGAAGCATCACCCAGACTCCCTGTCTGTGAGGTGGGGTTCCTGTCTGCTTCCTTCATCCGGGGTCAAGAGGACTTGACAGTCCTAAAAAGCCATTCTGAAGGTGGCATGTCCCTGTATGATTTGAGCTAGTTAATAAGGTGTAAATCCTCTGAGCACGTGCATTAAATACTGTTTGACTTTCACCAGTCTTTCCCATTTAGAGTGTGGATACCCCAGCCATTCTGCACCACAGAAGGCAAACCACAAGCTATCCTGGACACAGCGGAATGTTTCCTCCACTGGTGTGCAGAACAAGAAATAGCCCAATTACCCTTTAGTTCAGTCCTTCCCAACCTCGCGAAGCTGTATTCTACCTTCTACTGTCATTTCCAAGCCTGAAGTTGACAGGACCCCTTTTATTTAAGTACCTGGATCTTTCAGCTTCTCTGCCATTGACTCCAGGCTGGAAACCTCTTCTTCTTGTGGAGCATGGATCACCATCACCGTGGAGCCCAGGATACTCAGGATGCAGCCAATCTTCCCATGAACATTCAGCTGTTCATTCAGGAAAGTAGAAGATAGAACTGCACTGAAAGACAGTAAAAAAAACCCAAACCAATTAGGCCAAGGGGTAGGGTTCCTGAGGGAAGAGAGAGAGGAAAGCAGAGCAACTGCTTTTACTGCTAAGGGGTGATAGGTGAGGTAAGGGTGTTTCTGAGGCTGCTTACCTAACAAGGACACTTAGAGCACCCAGAGGAGTTACCAGCGTTGCAGGGGCAAAGGCATAGGCAGCAAAATTTGCTGCTTCTCCAACTCCCACTGCAAGATAAAATTGTGTCAGGTGAGCATCAAAGCAGGAGCAATGCAGCATAATACAGGTTTGAGTGCAGTCAGAAGAGAGCCTCAGTTTCCACCTGAGCATCCCATGTTTCTCTGAGGTATGTTGTGCAACCAGGAAAGAAAAGCACCAGCAAGAACAAGCAGAAGCCTGATATAGATTCCCTTGGGAAGAAAAGGTTTGTGGTGACATGTGGTGATCCGTAGTCACACGTGGCTATGCAGCTGAGCAGCAACCACAGAAAACTATTTCCATAGTGTCCTCAAAGCTGAACGGAGTTTTGACCCATTTTGTATTTCTAAGTCATGTTCTTCTCCTGGAACAGCTTTTACAGCTTTTTAAAGGATAAATCAAGTATAATTAGTTATTAACACTGAAAAGTGTAAAATAGAGCTGCTGAAATAGCTGCAGCACTAAACCCAGGGTGCTGGATGTGCCATTACAGCTACATCGTCTGGGTGGACTGTTTCAGAAGCACTTAACCCAACCCAGTTAGACCAACTCCTCAACTCCTGTTTAGCAGAGACACATGGTAATGCATGACACTTTAGAATATTTTAGAGTTTTAATTAGATCAACATCCTCAGACACTCAGATAAAAATCATGCAGTCAAACAATGGTCACAATCATAAAACAAAAAAGCAACTGGAAGCAATGACAAACACACTCCAAAGTACGTCTTGCTACAGTTTCAGAGCAGGTACTTACTGCACAGCAGCCCTGCCCACCAAAGCCATTCTTGCAGGTACGAGTGACCTCCTTGCCCTAAGTAAGGAAGAAAGAGCAACAAGAAACCTCAGATGGAGCTACACAAAAGGTTCATTGTCCTGCCAGAACTGTCTCGGAGAAGAAAGCGGGCCCAGCCTCATCTCTCTGTGCAAGGCTGCCTTGGTTCTTGCCTTGTCGCACAGTGGCCTGACCCAGACATGGACAAGCACTGATTCTTCTACCCTAAAAGCAATGATTTTATCCCCTGGTTCTCCCGCGTTTGGAACAGGAGCGGTTATAGGGATGTGGCTGTTAGCTACAGGCAACGGCGGGCTATTCCCCTGGACAGAGTGCTTCTACAACAAAACGCGCCGCAGGCCA